AAAAAAAAAAAAAAAAAAATATCATTTTAATCATAATTCCAAAATTAAAATGATAGTTAACCCCTTTATTCTGTTCTTATTTTTTCCAAATTCTTTAGGGCCTGAAGTAAAATTTAAAGGCGTCTTTCACCCAGTTGTAATTTCTCCTGATAGAATTGAAGAACTGAGTGTTGTAAACCATGCAGATAATGGTGAGCTCTTAAGTCCTTGTTTTCTTAGTTAAAATTCATCAATTAATTTACTTACCTTTCCCAGCACACAAGCAGATAAAGAATTATTCCTAATTAGACACAGAGATTCTCTTCTTATAAAAATGATAACGTTCAGGGGAGAGGGAGTCCGGAAAGAATTCTCTAAAGTGACTTCAGGTACTAATTTTCTGAATAGCCAGATTTTTACTGAAGAACTTTCTCTGTCTGCAGCATCAGAGAAATGTAACACTGTGGAGAGAAGCACAGTGTGCTGAGTGCTGGGTGGGAGATAAGGGTGAATAGAACAGCCTTTGTGCTCCGGCAGCACAGTAGCAAGCCAGGCAAGTTTATTCATCTAGCAGCTCACAGGCTGGGTTTCCCTTCCTGTAGAGCAGTGGTTCTCAACCTTCCTAAGGCCGCAAGCCTTTAATACAGTTCCCGTGAGCTGCAGCCCCACAGGTTGAGAACTACTGCTGGAGAAGAACTTGATTTAATGGCAGTGAGGGGAAGCAATGTAAGTGTGGGTTCAGAGCACCACTGAACTAACTCTTGAAAATGATGTCTATTAGCTATAAGATCTTAGTCAAGTCACTTAACTCTCAGTTTCTTCATCTGTGGAAGGGGGACAGAACCTATCCATAGGTTTGTACAGATTCTTGGATATTACCTAAGACATTCAGCGAAGTGCTTCATACAGTGAGTGCACAAAGAATTTAGATTCCATACCAGCAACAATCCCACCTCTATCACCACCTCAACCTCCCCACCACCTCCATCACTACATCTACCTGCCCACTGCCACCTCCATGACTACTACCTTCATCATCACCTCCACCACCTCCCTGATCACCATCTCCATTATCATCAGCACCACCACCACCACCTCTGCCTCTCCACTACCACCTCCATCGTCACCTCCACTATCACCACTACCACCTCCATAACCGCCACCACCATCATCACTTTCACCACCACCTCCACCACTTCCATCACCACTACCACCATCATTGCCACCATCATTGCCCCCTCTGTCACCACTTCTACCTCCCCACTACCACCTACACTTACCCACTACCACCTTCATGACCACTACTATCTTTATTACCACCTCCAACACCTCTGCCACCACTGCCACCTCTACCACAACCACCTCCATGACACTGCCACCTCTGTGACCACCAACTCTGTCACTACCTCAACCACCACTACCACCTCCATGACTACCACCACCTTCATCACCACCTGCACCACCACCACCACCACCTCCATCACCACTGCAACCTCCGTCATCTCACCTCCACCACCACTGCTACCTCTATCACCATCACCAACTTCATCACCACTACCTCCTCCTCCTCCTCCATCACCACTACCAACTATATAACCACCACCACCCCATCTACACCATCACTATTTCCATCACTGCCACCACTACCACCTCCACCAGTAAGCAGGGAAGCCTGTATCTAATATGGAGATTTCATGTCTATAGCTTTAGTCTAGTGGCCATTTTCAGGTCAGCATTGATCACATTGCATTATTTACAAATGACTTCATTTCAGAGCTGACCCTGGGTGCTGGTCTTAGCCTGGCCCAGGTGAAGAACATTCTGGCTGATGTGGTCCAGAAGCTTCCAGAGGAGAAGACACAGATATACCGTGCTCTCTTGAAGCATTTGGGAACTCTGGCTGGGTCCCAGATTAGGAACATGGCTGTATGTATTTCATGATAGCAAACTCTGGTATGAGTCCCTTGGTGATTGTCACTAATCATGGCATTTTCATTATTTTGGAACCAAAAAAAAATTGTTCTCTAAAGCTTTATTAATCTTTACCTTAGCACTTGTGTCTTTATAATTGCATAACTGATGTGAAAATAACTCCTTATTTTAAAAAAGTCTTTAGGGGGACACATCATAAGCAGACATCTAGATTCAGATCTGAATCCTCTCCTGGCTGTGGGTAACTGCACCCTGAACTTGCTATCCAAAGGTAAGTGACAGCTCCTACTTGGGTGTTAGTAAACCTATTACTCCTACCCCTTTTTCTTTCTGGGTAGACAGGAAGTCCAGTTTTGAAAATAACTGTTCCCTATTATGTCATTAATTCTCTCTGCCTTTCTGGATGCTGGAAAGTGGTCTTAATACCACACACTCCTGATCTCCTCTGTTTCTCTTTCAGAATTTGTGCTAGATATTTTCTCATACTAGTCACCATACATTGAACATGCTTGTGTTGGTTGATGTCCAGATAGGATTTGATTATTGAAGAGAACCATAAGTTATTAAGGACAATCAGGCCACCTGTTGAAGACGTTCTCCATAGGGTACAAGAGTGCTTTTGTGCCCAAATTATGCTTTGGGCTTATACTTAATTTGTTGTTGGTGGAAGGCTATAGTTCATTTTTGATAGCCAATGTTTTGGCCTCATTCTATATTTATTTACTTGACTTTTGTTTTTGAAACTAAGTCTAGAATATTAAATTTATTTCTCTTATTCCAATTTGCTCAACCATTATTAGGAAGTTCTAATTGGCCCTCTCTAAATTTTTTTTTTAGTTTAAAATTGTGGGCTAGTTTTCTCTTACCTGCATTATTAAATAGCTACCCCTGATATCATCTAAGCCCCCCATTTATCTTAAGAAAGAACATTGGCATTGAGAATTTTCATATGTAACATCTCCTTTAAAAGTCATACCATAAGAAACAGGTTTTGCGATGTGAATATAGACGTTAAAAGCTTCTTAGTCTGGGGTTTTGTACATAGCAGAGCACCTCCTTTGCTGTAATCTATTATAAGTCAGGCCTTAACACAAAGATTTGTAAAAAAATAAAAAGTAAAAAAAAGAAACTAAAGAAAGAAAAATACCACCAGAATCGTTTTAGCTTTCATGCCTTAATTGTATGTTGTTATAGCTTTAAACTACAGGGAGTCCCAAAAATTGCCCATAAAGTTGCTGTACATAGGGAAAATGAAAAATTGTAGCTAAATATACCTTTATTTATAAAATATTTATTACAAAAGTTTATAAAATGTTAAAACATATTCTCTCTATATTGGCCACTTCTTGGTAAAATTTTGCAATGAATATTTTGTAAATATAGTATTCTTCCTCCCAACATATTGATTAAAGAACTGACATTTTTCGATGCTGGAAAAAATGTAAACAAATAAAACAACACCTCACCATTATACAAATTTTTAAAGGCCGTTTATTTATTCACTACTGTACCTATTATGTTTCTTAGTTATAAACAATAAATTCATTTATAACAAATGTATTTGTTGACTGACTTGATCAGAATTTCAAAGGAGTTATTACGATCTAATCCCCACTCATAAAGCTCTAAGTAAGTGAATCGTCCTGTTCAGGAAGAGGACTGCTAAGGTCCTGTTCTACCTAAAACTCTAGGCTACTCCGTTTGATATTTTTGTCCATAAACAAGCAAGGAAGGCAGATAGAAGTGGAATCTAGACTGGGAAAACATTGTAAATTGCGATAGTGAAAGATTTGTTAAGCATAGGAAGCACATTTCTTTCCCTGAGCAATCAATACCCTCAGGAATTTGATAGAATTATTTCCAGTGTTTTAGAAGTTTCCTAAATAGACCATAGATTCCAGGAAAATTGTCATTTCTTTCCACAGAAGGAGAACGACAGATTCCTTTAAATGAGCAGTTTCTCAGCAAGAGCCCCAGTGCAGATCTTAAGCCTCAAGAAATCCTGCTCTCAGTGAACATCCCCTACTCAAGGAAGGTGAGAATGTCATCCTGTCGCTTTCCAGCCTTTCCTGGGAGCATAGCTTATTTATTCCAACACATGGTGGATTAAGAAAAAGTGTTGAGTATTTATTTAGGGAAGATAAAATTTCAACTTCAAGAGGCAGTGTGAGGTCATTATTTTAAGAGGTCTTGTGAATAGTTACCTTTATTAGTGTTATACATGCCACTCTCATTCCAAGAATCCGGAGACCTTTCTAACTAAGACCAGAAGAACACATTTCTTAGAGTTTGAAAGAGTCTATCAGACTCAGTAGAAACAATAAGAGCTTTGGCATCAGATAGACTCAGGTTTGAGTCCTGTTGTCAAGCCCTGCACTAACTACTGCATTACTCTCAGTCTTAGATTCTTCATCTGTAAAATGGGAATAAGATCGCCTACCTTAGAGGATGTATTCATTAGCGAGGGCCACCACACAGGGTAACTTGCTTTGCTAAAGTTCTGGAGGCTGGTGGTCTAATACTAAGGTGTTGGCAGGCTAGGTTTCTTCTGAGGCCTCTGACGCTGGCTTACAGAAGGCCGTCTTCTCCTTCTGTCTTCACATGGTCTTCTCTCTATACATGTTTGTGTCCAAATTTCCTCTTCTTATAAAGGCACCAACAATTTTGAATCAGGGCCCACCCCTGGGCCCTTGACCTCATTTTAACTTTAGCTCTTTAAAGACCCTGTATCCAAATATAATCACATTCGAAGTTCTGGCAGGTAGGACTTCACCCTATGAATTGGGTGAAGGGACACAATTGAGCTCATGACAGAGGATGTGACAGAGACAAATAAGGCAACATACACAAACTGCCAAGTGCATAGTTGTCACTTTTTCTTACAGTGGGAGTTTGTGTCAGCTTTCCGACAAGCCCAGAGGCACCAGAATGCACTAGCAATAGTCAATTCAGGAATGAGAGTCTTCCTTGGAGAAGGGGATGGCATCATTAGAGAGTTATCCATTTTATATGGAGGTGTTGGCCCAACCACCATTTGTGCCAGAAATTCCTGCCAGAAGCTCATCGGAAGGTAAGGTATCATGTCCTTAGACTCCAACCAGCAGAATAGCCCTTTTGTGGTGACATGTAAGGATAAGAAGAAAATGCTTAGCACTTTTCTATTTAATGGCATAGAATTCCAATAAGATTTTATCATTATTTCTATGTGTCTTGATTTTATTAAATTCTGACATAAGCATCATTTCATGTGTGTGTGAGAGAGAGAGCCTATCTCCCAGTGGTACAAATTTGCATTCTTTATTGCAGGAAAATAATTTACCCTGATAAAAATAAATTGTGTGAGTTTGTTCTACAATAAATTGCTAAATGCATTTGCTTGCCTAACTTCCTATTTCAACAGATGTACTAACAGCTAATATTTTTTGAGTGCTTACATGGAATCAGCTGCTATTTCAAGAGAAATAATAGAGAATAGTGGTTAAAAGCATGAGCTATAAGACTTGAGTGATCCCAACTGCCTGGTTCAAATCTCCAGTTCAACCCCTAACAATTCCCTCTGTCAGCTTACTTAACCTCAGGTACCTCAGTTTCCTTATCTGTCTGAGACGAATGATCCTACCTACCCATAGGGCCACTAAGAGGATTTCACGAGTGAATTCATACAAGGTACTTAAAGTAGAATGTGGTATGCAGTAAATGTCCTAGTGATGTGAGGATCAGTAACTTCTGGGATAAAGATTTTACACGGGGTGTCACTTATTTCTCAAGATGGCTCTATGAGGTAGGCTATGCTATTATTCCACTTTTACAGACAAGGATGTGTGAGACCCAGGCTAGGCCCCTGGGGCATGGTGGGCTGATCTGAACTTGGGTTGCCTGTCTCCGGAGCTTACACTCTATTTCCTTACACACCAGCCAACCTGTGAGGTATGAGTCCTGTCAGGCTAGGAGTCTTTTCTTTCGACTCTCCAGGCCCTGGAATGAAGAGATGCTAGATGCGGCGTGCAGGCTGGTTCTGGACGAAGTCTTGCTTCCAGGCTCAGCTCCAGGTGGGAAGGTTGAGTTCAAGAGGACTCTTATCATCAGCTTCCTCTTCAAGTTCTACCTGGAGGTGTCACAGACTTTGAAGCAGATGGTAAGTGGAACTGGTCGTGTGGTAGCTTCCTCAGTACTGGGGTTATGGTGACCCCCAAAGTGGACACAGCAACCTCCTGCTAAATAGCTATAGTGTGTAAAAGAAGACCCAAATTAGAAACACCCAGACTGCTGGGGGCCTCCATCAGCCTGTGTGTGGGTGGGTACGAGTTTAGGGAAGGTTGTAAGTAGAGCAGACAGTTGTGTAGGTTTTGTTTAACAACACGGGGTCTGTTTCTGACCTGTTGTTTTTCTAGATAATATTCAGAGGACTTGCTAATGATCTGAAGCATGTCTTCCTCGTGAGGCGTTCGTTACCTCATAATGAGGTTTACCTCCATGTGCTTGGCTTTCTTCTCTCCGTTAGGCTTCATTTCCCTCCCCCACAAGACAGTGACGCGGCTACTGCACAAGACTGTTACGGGATGCATTACTGTAGGAAAGGGGCCGAGTAGGGCCCCGAGTGCTTCAGAGGAACTGCTCAGCTACAGGCATGATAACAGTAGTAATAACCTGGGCATTCTGTTGTCTGATCTCCCTAATGACAAACAATCAGATCTGTAAGATTGTTGGATACGGAGGATACAACTGAAGAAAATTCTCTGAATGAATTTACTAGACCCAAAGGGAGCTTGAACCTTACTGACCTCTTTTAAGCCCTTGCTACAACCAGCTGACCAAGCTGGGTGTGGTAGAAGCCAAGAACATGCTTCACGTGGTATTGAAATCAATATGATCACTTTAAATGAGAGACACAAAATCCTCTCTTATATCATTGCTTTTGAGGGCGTCTTCTCATTGTACATGGGAACAATTGAGAACCAGAAGAGCTGTACCAAAATTTTGAGAACAGAATCTTGAAATCGTATATAAGTGACATGTTGTCACCAGCAATCCAAAGTGAAAAAATAAAGCCAATTATAGAGCAAACTAAGACAACTCCGTAGTGAATCAAGTGATACAATTGAAAACTTGCACCTTGTAGTCTTGTAGTTTGCATTCAGCATCCTGTCTTTAAAAACAGTAACTTTGTTGGGTTTTGTTTCTATTAAAATTATGTAAATTATAAAGAATAACCATCGGGTGTATTGTTTAAAGTGTCAAGACCCCAGTGACCCATTTCCCTGGGTCCTGAGGAGTGTTTTCCTAGAGATTGGGTGCTTGGCAGGGATGCGGCCTTTGCCTTCTTCCTCCCCAGCTGGCCGAGTGGCACAGAGCAGAGCTCAGGGCCCGTCAGCAATGTGCTTTGTCTCTGACTGCTTAATGATTTAAGTATTCTCTTCCTTTCCATTTTGTTTACTTAGCCTCTATCTTCCTGATGTTTCAGTTTGTACAATACAGTTATTTAGGAAAGCATGTGAGAGATCATAAGAAACATAGAGATAGTGAAAGTCATCTATTATGTTCATTTGGTTGTTCACAATGTGTGCAAGTGTGTGCGACCTTTCAGAGATATGTCCTTGACTCAGGGAGCTGCCTATACTTCCCAAGTGCTGACTAGGGTGAGTACTAATAAGTCCATGTCAGACTTCAGAGTAGAGATGCTTGGTGGGAATCATGTTAGCATCCCCTTCTCAGACCATTGTGGCACATTTTAAACCAGGTGACCTCAAACTATAGCCCGCGGGCCACAAGCAGCCTGCCTAGGACATTTATCCAGCCCACCAGGTGTTTTTGCCACCACTGCCTGTCCTCCTTAGCAGCCGACTCATCCTGGGGCCCACAGTCCAGCCCTCCAGTGGTCTGAGGGACAATGAACTGGCCCTCTGTTTAAAAAGTTTGAGGACCCCTGTTTTAAGCCATTTTACGTATGGACAATGCTGTTTTTTTCCAGGATCCAGTTCACTATCCTGGCCTTGCAGACAAGTATGAGAGTGCCTTAGAAGATCTTCATGCCAGACATCACTGGAGTAGAATCAAGTACCAGGTTAGTGGCATTTTTAAAAGAATTCAGAATCTGAGCTATAGAGTCTTCACCTGGGCATTCCCACTGTCTCTTGCTGATTCTTAAACTTAATAAGACTCAAGCTCCCTTTCATGAACTCACAGCTCCTTTAGTGTTAACTAAGATGTCAAAATCAATGAAGAATTATCACTAGGCACAAATCTAGCTGTGGCAATTTTAAAGATAAATGCTGATTTTGGTCTTAAAGGCCATATGCTTTGTGCTGTGGCTTCTTCATACCAGTGACATGCACAAGCATCCCAAGCCACCCCCAGACCCCACAGGCGCATTCTGCTCTTGGCACCGTGGAGGTCAGAGCACAGCCAAAACTGGGTTCTGAGGCAAGGCCGTGGCTGCTTTGATTTCGTTTTCAAAGGAGCAGAAGACACAGCCCCTGGAGGTTGATAAAAATGGAATAATGTTTTTTAAAAGAACTATCTGTTTGTTGTTTGAATGTGGAAAAAAAAACTCTATATTCTGCCTACGCCTATTCTCCAAGTGGTTTTTCTGTGTTACATTTTAGATTTGATTCAAACAAAAGTTTGAAGAGTTACTTGTAAACTCTGGTAATGAAAGCTGACTATTGGAGAGAACAATATTCCTCATAACTATAACAGCAAATGGAATTTTCTACCACAACATCATTAAAATATTACCCAAAGTCATTCTTTTGGTAAACCGGATAAGTTTGGTTGTTGTTCCTTGAAATTATCATCAAGAAAGTTGACCTTGAGGGTGTTATTAAGTCAACAACATGAAGTCTTTTAAAACCATCAGTTCATTGAATCCATTGTTGGATTTAGTTATAAAACCTTACAGTATGTTTGGGATTTGGGGATTTTAGGTTCAATATGTTTAAAAATTCAGATATGCCGAACTCCATTGGAAGGGATCATTTTGAAAACTAAAAACAGCTGCCCTTTTCCTGGTGTTCTATAAAATATGTCAGCTGAAATCTTCAGCTTGTATATACTGTAACATCACCTTGACAATGGTATAACCTTCAGAAAAAAAACGCAACCTAACAAATTAATAGACATTCAAATTAACAAAGAAAACATTCATGTAGTGGTTGATCTTGAACAGGAGTTTATTGCTGATTGCAAGACAAAGTTTTTGATGTAGTGTATCTTCCACACGTAGGACTTGATTTTTCACACACACATGCAAATATCCACGTTGCCAAATCAACGTTAACATTCGCCATGAACATTTTTCCCCTAAATCGGTTCATTTTCTTTGAAAGTATTTTGACACAGCTTCAAGAAATCACCAATTGAGGAGATGAGTGTAGCCACTTTCACCAGTAGATTTCAGCACCACTGACTGCAAAAAATAAAACTAATAATAATAAGCATTATAACCTTAGCTAAAATAATCAATTTCATATTTGACTATAGACAAAGATACATTTTGGAATTTTTCTTCAATCTTCTTGCAGGCATCACACGGCAAGGTTTTAAAAGATTTTTAAAATGTGATTAGTTATAGTAAAAAGGGTTATGTGAGCTCCAACTCTAGAGCCTTCCCAGATACCTATGAATGGGTTTCCTTAGCATCTGAGCTTATGAATTACCTGGAATTTTGTTTTCCAGGATGAAAAAAAAAAAAAAAAACCTTGTAGGTTTTTAAAAAGAAGTGAATTTTTGCCCAAGTGTGATTCAAATTGAGAGCCCAAACAGTATCATAGCTCAGCACTTATGGGGATACTTTACAGAGGAAGTCAGTCCCTAACACCTGCAGCACAGGGAAAATCATACCTGGTAGAACACTCACCATTATTTTTTTCCTTTTCATTACCATTTCAGCTTCTCAAAGGAAATGGGAAAGAGAACTGCAGGGAACATGTGGCCGTGAGGACAGGGCAGTGAGCTATGTTGATGGAACTCAGGTGTCAGGCTGCCTCAAATCTCTGCTTGTGCCTGAACCCCACTCAGTAAACATTTCTTTCATTTTCCCCATTCCCCTACATTTGTGGCCTAATATCTACCTTTACTTAATGGGTTCTGGGCCAGGTTCTAAATTATTCTTCTTGATAATCTTCTGCTATCAATCTTATAAAGTCAAGATGACTCAATAACCACCGGGAAGGGGAAAGGAAGAAAAACTTCACCAATACTCATTTTTTTCTGTGTACTGTACTCTAGCAACTACAAAATTGGAGCTGATATTAAAGTAAAACTAATATGGATATTAAAACAGTAGATGCACATAAAAATCAGTATTTATTTTACTATAAAATAGTAAGTTCTACATAAAATAGGATTGGGGCACCTTCACAGGTTTTATACCAAGTCAATTGTAGAAATCATTCTCCTGGGCAGCGCCTGTGGCTCAGTGAGTAGGGCACCAGCCCCCTATACCAAGGGTGGTGGGTTCAAACCCAGCCCCAGGCAAACTGCAACAAAAAAATAGCCGGGTGTCATGGCAGGCGCCTATAGTCCCAGCTACTCGGGAGGCTGAGGCAAGAGAATCGCCTAAGCCCAAGAGCTGGAGGTTTCTGTGAGCTGTGATGCCAGGGCATTCTACCAAGGGTGACAAAGTAAGACTCTATCTCTAAAAAAAAAAAAAAAAAAGGAAAAGAAAAGAAATCATTCTCCTTTCTGCATATAATTGTCAGTCAAAATTAAGTTGAAATTTTATTTTTTGTCAATCACATTACAAAAACAATGGGCTGTTTTTTTCATTTTCTAAATAATCAATGATGATCCTGAACTTGTTCTCAAGTTACACATGCCGTTCTGCCCTTCTCTCGTGATATTCCTGGCCTGCCACCTTCTCGGAGAACCTCTGGTCTTTCTCCACCCAGGGTTTTTTTTTTTTTTAACTCACGTATGTATTTTTAATTCAGATTAAATGAGGGTACCAACGATCAGGTTATGTGGTTCGTGTTTCTAAGGTAAAGTTCAAGTTGGAATTGAGGCAGTTGAGCCCCTCATCCTGGGCGTGTGCTCTATGCCCTCACTGTGTGTCCATCAGGTGAGACCCTCCAGCAGGTTGGCAGTGAGTGAGGACTCCACTTCCTGAGTTCTGTGAGCAGCAAGAGCACTGGAGAACTGCACATTTCACAGCCCCCTGAGCAAAACTCCCCAAGTTACAGCCAAATCTTTAGAAAGGAAGAGAAAGCAAAACATCTTCCTGTAAAGACAGTGTGCTCAGTGATTAAGGGAACTCCAGACAGCTCTCCTCGGATTGCACATCTAGCGTGAGAGCTTTGGAGCACTTCCATCAGACTGGGGCTTACTCGAGGGAAGTGGTAGGTGGATTCAAATATCTCATGGATTGTCAGTAGGTACTGAATAGACCTACTCTGGTAATCCAATACAAAAGTATTTAGCTTTTTATCCCTTCAGATGCCTTAGATGACAATGGTCAGCTTCTTTTTTCTACTAATAAAGAGTTTTACCCAAGATGTGTTCTGTCGGTGACACGTCTTACCTTCCCTCTCCTCTGCCATACGATGTGTAGCCTGGCACTGTGAGGCTCATCTCAAAGGAAGACCCCTCCCTGATCCAGGGCTCCAGGTGGTCCTGAGAACTGCAGTAGGAGGGAGCAGTTGGGGTAGAGGCGGGGAAGCTTCCATAGATTTTTCCCAGCTCTCACGCTGGCCAACCTGAATGTATGTCCCTTACTCCCTAGTCTTCTAGAGGAAACCTCTGGGAGTCTGGCCTCAACCCAGCACCAAATTCAGTGCTGATGCAGGACTCAAGGGTGGGATTGCCACAGGGCTTAGCTCAGAAACAGCCTTTGCCTCGGGCTCTGAGCTTGGCTTTAGTCATGTCTTTTATCTTACTATCCTTTCTTCCTCCAATTCTTATAATACCCATCCAACTAGGAAAACCAACTGCTCTCATATTCAAAGTATCAGGGAAGACTTCATGTTGGATGATCTCCACTTTGGTTAATGAAGCACATTTAAGGTACTTATGTCTCTACCGATCTCTACGAAAGAGTAACAGTAATGAATCACTACTCAAATTGCAGGTCTCTTGGCTTTATTCTCTACCAGGATTGTCTATTGCTTTTTTCCTTTTTTTTTTTTAGGATTATCTATTTCTTAGACTTCCTTACTCAAACTAGTGGTAAAAAGGCCATTCTGGTTGAAAGTCACACTCTCAATATTTTCTATAAACCCAGTCACAGTATCATCATGCTCTTCTGTAAAATATGTACCATGCTTCTATAAAACATAAAGTAATTTGGATTAAAAAATTTTAAGAAATCCATGAGCATTAGCAAGAGGACGTGCATTTATGTTGTTTAGGAAGAATGATTTAAAGTCACTTACACAAAGGGAATTTCCATGAGAGATTTTTGGAGTCTCTGTTCAAAAAAAGTGAAAGAAGACAAAGACAACATCATGACTCTACATAAGACTTTGCCTGTTGAATGACTGTAATAGGCTTATTGTCCTGGGGTTACTATTTGTAGTGACTGCTTTCATTCTCAAAAGTGTTCTGGAGCCTGGCACAGTGGCTCATATCTGTAATCACAGCACTTGGGAGGCTAAGGTGGGTGGATTGCCTGAGCTCACAGGTTCAAGACCAGCCTGAGCCAGAGCAAGACCCTCATCTCTAACCAGGCACTGTGGTGGGTGCCTTTAGTCCCAGCTACTTGGGAGGCTGAGGCAAGAGGATTACTTGAACCCAAGAGTTTGAAGTTGCTGTAAGCTAAGACACCATGGCGCTCTACTGAGGGTAATCAAGCAAGACTCTGTCTCCCAAAAAGAAAAAAAAGTGTTCTGGTTTGGGTGTAAATTATGTGGCTACCCTCTTTGGGGAGATGTTCATAACATGATTATTTCCACTTTCTCTATACAACTATAAAAAGTATACTTTGGTTTTTTGTTACAGAATGTAGATGGAAAACAGCTTCCTCAAGATCCAATTGGCCACCCCATCATGCACCTGTCTGGTATGAAGCATGCCACGGGAGAAGCCATTTACTGCGATGACATGCCTGCCATGGACCGGGAACTTTTCTTGACTTTTGTAACTAGTTCAAGAGCTCATGCTAAGATTGTGTAAGTGGTGAATTTACCTGATAGGCATAAGTGGTTGCTTCTCATCTAAGTCACATGAGTGACAAGCAATGGGATGAAGGAGGTAAATGAGTTGTTGGCAATATCCATTGCCGATCAGAGATGAAATGCGATGGAAATGTAGAATTAACTACACTTTTTCCATTCCTAAAATAACTTCCTTGTCCCAGAAATGTTCTCCTAATTGTAGTGAGAACTGCGGAAGCAGCTATTTATCATGTCTTACCTCTCTCGTATCTTACTCTCTAATTACCTGTGTTTTTCAATGGTCTGGCTGCTCTAAGGGGCTCTGCTGTGTGTGTTATCACCTAGGTCCATTGACCTATCAGAAGCTTTTAACCTGCCAGGCGTGGTGGACATCCTAACCGAGGAACATCTTGGCTGCATAAAATCTTGCTTTTTCTCTGAATCTGAGACATTTCTGGCAACAAATAAGGTACTGCATCTTTGCTTTCTGTTTGAAAAATAACTTCTTTAGTTAATTGTGATTTATATTTTATTTTTTTGAAACAGAATCTCACTATGTCGCCCTCAGTAGGGTACTATGACATCACAGTTCACAGCAACCTCAAACTCTTGGGCTTGAGCGATTCTCTTGCCTCAGCCTCCCAAGTAGTTAGGACTACAGGTCCCCACCACAATGCCTAACTATTTTTTTTATTTCAGTTGTCATTGTTGTTTAGCAGGCCGAGGCCAGGTTCAAACCTGCCAGCCCTGGTGCATGTGGCTGGCGCCGTAACCACTATACTACAGGTGCCAAGTTGTTTTATATTTTCTTAAAAGTTAGTTGTATAATAAAAGATTCCTGCATTCTTTGAATGCTTATTATAAAACTCTATGTTCTAATATTGAATAAATTAAAATATATTTATTGTCCATATAAATAAAGGAATTGACTAGTTATATAAAAGATACTTTAGGCCATGTATGGTGACTCAAGCCTGTAATCCTAGCACTTTGGGAGGCTAAAGCAAGAGGATCACTTAAGATCAAAGACAGGGTCTCTAAAAAAAAAAAAAAGAAATTAGCATGGGTGGTGCATACCTGTAGTCCTAGCTACTCAGGAGTCTGAGACAGAAGGGTTGCTTGAGCCCAGGAGTTTGAGGAGTTTGAGGTTATAGTGAGTTATCATGGGGCCATAAACTCCAGCCTGGGTGACAGAGCAAGAACTTATCTCTAATATATATAGAGATATACATATACACATATACATATACACACACTATATAGATACAGTAGAACCTCCATAGTTGGCCACCATCCTACATTGACCACCTCCTTAAGTGGACCTAATTTTCATAGACCAGACAGGCACCACATGTACATATCAGTACAGAGGCCTAGTTCTCTGTGTTGACCAGCTCCGTATATTGACCAGTTTATTACAGCCCCTTGGGTAGTCAACTTACAGATTCTCTGCTGTGTGTACACAAATGCACACACACATGCACACACTTCAGTGTTTTATATTTTCTGGTGGCAATGTAGTATGCTGCTAACACATAAGAAAGAATAAACAGAAAGAGATTTGTGATAGTTTTTCTTTGCAAATCCCTTCCCTGAGAATCTCTTGCTATTGCCACAGTCCAGTGTGTCCCAAGCTGAAGCCTGAGTTCAAGTGGTATATCCACCTTCAAGCCTTTTCTTATCCTTTAAGCCAGAAGTTTTCTTTCCCTCTCTGAACTTATTCTGGCTCATTCATTCATACTGCCATGTATTCGGGGCCTTTTTTAAGTGAGCATCTATTATGTCTGCTCACCATGGCTGTATAAGTAAGTGTGGCCCCTGCCCTCGTGCAGCTTAGAGCCTGGAGAAGAAAACAAAGTGAACTTTTCTGTACTTCTCTTCTTGTGCTAAGCTCTTTTATTCTGTGTCTTACATATTTCCCCACCTAGAGTAGTTCCTTGAGTGAGTGCCTGTGTCTGATTCCTCTGTGTATTCCACAGGCTATCTCCCATACACTAGGGCAAATGAGGAGAGGCACAGTGATACTGTTGTTGCCATTTTAATATTGAAAATGATTAAAATATTGGCTACTGTATCTCAAGTTACCAGAAAATGCAGAAAGCACAGCAGTCATCATGTTTTCTGCCAAACTTAGATATCTCAGTTCAGTATTTACCCAAAAGAGCTTCATTATCTCAAACAGTCCCAGCCTCTGGTTCTCCCTAGCAGATATAGTCAATAACAAAGAAAGCTTGATGATGGAAAGTTTGAACTCAGGGTTGAAACTCCCCCACGGCAGGGCTGTGCAGCACTGGCGGAGACAGTGAGAATTATGACCTTAGCATAAATGTTAACTAAATAAGTAAAATTGGTCCCAGCTGCGCAATATTACCTGCCTTCTGAGGTGCACTTTTGTAGATTATGAGCATCTCAGGGACCACGCCTCTGTGCCTGTCACAGGAGAAAACCAAGTGTCTGCAGAGAGCAAAGAACAGCTCCATAGACAGCACCAAACAGCACCAGCAGCAATCATGGCCTTTGCAGGTTTAATTCCTTTTAAACATTCACTTAAAATTCATCTTATGCCTTAAAATTTTCTTTCATTGTAAGAATACACAAAAATAAAGACTAATAGTACAACGAACCCCACGGATCTATCACCCAGCTGCAAAAACTGTCAACATGTTGCCATTCTGATTTCATTTCTCTTCTCACTGCCCTGCCACATTGGTTGTGGCTTTTGTTGTTCTAGGCTTAATGTTTTTAATAGCAATTTTTTTTTCTGATGATAAAACTATTACATGCCCATTGTGGAAAAGACCTAATAACTTAAAGTAGATTTTTTTTTTTTGGAGATAGGACCTCAAGCTGTCACCCTGGGTAGAGAGTGCCATGATATCACAGCTCACAGCAACCTCAAACTCCTAAGCTTAAGCAATTCTCTTGCCTCAGCCTCCCAAGTAGCTGGGACTACAGGCGCCCGCCACAACACCTGGCTATTTTTTGGTTGTAGTTTTCATTGTTGTTTGGCAGGTCCAGGCTGGATTCGAACCCACCAGCTCTGGTGTATGTGGCTGGTGCCTTAGCCACTTGAGCTACAGGCACCGAGCCTTAAAGTAGATTTTTTTAATGTGTGATTAAATTTGAACTGTGAATGGCGGTGTTAGGTGGGAGAGAGAAGTCAACAGTGAACTGTTTTACCTTTCTGAGACTGGAGTCTCCTCTCCCCACACTAAATGTTCTTCCCTGATCCCCACGTGAACTCCGTAGACCAGCTACCCCACCAGCAGGTGAACGATGTGGGCTGCCAGCCCCAGAAAAGGGGATGCTCTGTGCTTGGTTGTGTCTTGGCTAAATGAGTTTCATGTCTCTTCATGAAGAGCCAGTGTGTGGGCAGAGACTTGTGTTGTGTGATCACACAGGGGTTCCCCTTCCCAGGTCACCCCCTTTCTGCAGTTGAGAACAGCTGTCACTTCCTAATCCTACCTATTGATACAGACAGAAGCTGCCTCTTGACAATTTATGACCAACTACACGGTAGAGGGTGGGGGAAGAGGAGAGCAGAGAGAGAGAGAAGGAGGGAGGAAGGTGGGAGAAGGGAAGAACAGAGAGAGGGAAGGAGGGAGGGGAGTCGGGGGCTCAGTGTGTGACACCGTTTGGGGGCAATACACAATTATAAGAGGGACAATACCTAACAAATGTAATCAGTGTAACCTGGTGTTTTGTACCCTCAATGAATCCCCAACAATTAAAAAAAAAAATCTGCCTCTCTCAGAACATCCCTGACTGTGGTGTGGTGAGGCAGCCACAGGCCATGGAACAGTTTTCCTAGGCCAGCAGGCCCTCCAGAAGTCCCATTGGCTTGGCCTGTAGCCTGAGTCCACTGTCCTCAAGACAATTTCCCTCCTGCCTCCCAGCAACTTTCACTGCCAATGATATAGCACAAGGCTCTCAATGTCCCCTAGTGCCTGGCACCAGCAGACCCAGTGTGATTATAGGCATGGACAGATGTGAAGGGGCCACATCTGTGTGTATCTAGCCCTGTGCTGGCAGGGAGGAGGAAAATGAGCAAAAGAGAGGACGTGGTGCCTTCCTTGACAACAAAGATTTTTTTGTGTGTAGGTGTCTTGTGTGGGTCGGCTTATCTGTGCTGTGATCGCAGAGTCTGAGGTTCAGGCCAAACGCGCTGCCAAGCAAGTGAAGATTGTCTACCAAGACTTGGAGCCACTGATCCTCACAATTGAGGTAATGAGCTCGATGGTGGGGGCAGTTCTGGGGCCAGAGGACCAGACATCAGCAGCATTATCACTTAAAGTACTTTCAGCTACTGTAATAGGAAAACATGACTCAAAGTGGCTTCCAAAACACAGGTACTTTATTGTCCCCAAATGACATCATTGTATGCAGTTCCCCAAGGACCTGGTTTCCCTCTGGCACCCACAGTGTAGACTTTGTCCCCACAGGCAAGAGGACAGCCTGGGCAGCCTGGGCTCCCTTGTTCATGTCCAATGGGCACAAGGACACCTGCCTTCCATCACAGCAGCATTTCAAGCACAGGTCCTGGGACCCAGCCTAGATTAAGCCACTTAGGTCATGTGTCCAACTTTGAGTTAATGACTGGCAAGAGAAATGGAGGGGCTGTTGGTCACTGCTGAGTGTATTTCTCTGATGCTCATGGGCCATATAGGGGAGTCGAGGAGCCCTAAATGGGAATCTGAGCACTGTGTGGAAGGAGAAAGGGAGGGGAATGCTAGGTGGGCAGCCAGCAGTGGCCAAGGCAGTGGATCCACCCTGTGCCTCTGTGGTCAACTTCACCCGGGTTCTCACAGGTGCAAAGCAAGGACCAACAAGCTGTTCTATGAAGTAGAAACCAGAGAAATTATTTTTAGATTTTTTTTAATGCATAACTTAAGTGAGTCTGTGAGATAGATCATGTAATGCCTACAGGTATTTTGGCAACTTAAATTGGAGAACTGCATTTTCTATCTTGATTTTTAGAAAGGAGCTAGGATTGTGTAAAGGCTACAAGGCATCTCTGTGAAATGATAGGGTGTTCTGCATACCTTCCACTGGTTCTTACAATTCTCTGAGTAATGAAAGATTATACAAGTTGGGGAAACAGCAGGACTAGGCTCCCTGCAGACAGACTCCCTCACTCTGAGAGAGCAGAATTAGCTTCAGCACTGAGTGAAGACTGGTTCTTCAGGTGATAAGCCTGGCCTGGGGCAGAAAACAAGAGGAGATGACTTGGGCAAGATTAGCATCTCCAGGAGAACTTGGCCTTGAAGGTGTTTCCTGACACGCTGCTCTATGTCTGGGAATAGGGAGTTTGTTTCTGAAAACGTTCATTAGTGTTTTAAAATTAAAATAAATTAAAAAAAATTAAATTAAAATAAATTCATGTCAAGAAAACAAAAATATAGCAGCTTAGTTGTGGTCCAAGTGTGATTATTCCTCCCAAGTTTTCCTGCCAGGTCCCAGTTCAGACATTCTGTTCCCGTCTGGGCCCTTTTCATTTACACGTTGCCTGCCGCTCTTGCTCACTTTATATGGTCCTTCTCCAAAATGTTGCTGTAGGGTTAGAATTGCTTCTTAGTAAGAATTTATTTATATAATGTTTCATCAAAATTTGGCTTGTAATACTTTGCCCAATATCAAGGACTAAATTTCCGCCTTTTCCTCCTCTAACCTTCCAGCCAAATGAAAGTCCCACTGACTAAGTTGACGCCACCCTCCTTGCCCTCCTGAGCTCCAACCAGCTGATCCTTAATGGACTGCCAGGGAATGCCAGCATCAAATACCAAACTTTGGCATGGTGGGAAAGAGTTACCACATGTTTGATTGGAGATCTAAGCACCCCAAGGTCCATGAACTGGATGAGATGGATTTAGTCCAAGTTTATAGCAGGAGAATCTGCCTGTCTCCCGACACAGTGCAGTTCTTTTATCACTGTCCCGACCTAGAAATATTCAGGAAATTGGCTCAAAGTTACTCAGAGAGCAAGCAGCAAGTGAAGTTGAAAACGATCAAACTTTTAAAAGTAGGATTTACAAGATGGGGCTTCTTTTTTCCAAACTAGAGTATCTGAGTTTTAGACTAATAAGAAAAGATTATTAATTTATTCTAGTAAGAAGTGTGTTACCAATCAAAATAGAATTAGAACACATATACCTCTGTCACTGCCACCAAGGTTTAACCTAGTGGGCTTATACTTTTCAGATTTTTTTAGTAGTTTCAGTGTAAAAATTCTACCAAATTTCTTTTTTTTAATCTTTTTTTTTTAAATTAATATGAGGGTACTAATTTTTAGGTTACATTGTTCTCACTTCCAAGGTAAAGTTCAAGTTGTAGTTGAGCCCTTCATCCAGGGTGTGTGCTCAACACCCTCACATTGTGCACATTAGTTGAGATTCTGCCAATTGCCCTCCCTCCTTCCACCAATCGCTCTCCCCCTTTACCCTCCTCCTTTCCTTTCCGCCCCCCCTTGCTAGACTGTATGTGTGTCTTATCATTCCTGTGGGCTTGTAATTGATTATATATTGGCATCACATTTCTTGAATCTACCTTGAGAAGGCTGATGACCGTGGTGAAAAAATGGGTTCCCCAACAGAATCTCTCCTTAATCATGGTCAACATCAACAGCATGCCCAGGGCTAGACCGTCCCCTGAGCTCACTGTGTGGCTGCCGGTTTCATGTATTAACTCACTGAATACTCACAGCAGTCTTGTTATCCCCATTCTGATGGGAAACAACAAGATAGGGCCACCCAAGGTCACACAGCTAGTCAGTAACAGAAGCAGTCAACAAACACTCTATCAAAGAACCTGGGTCTCAGGCAGTAAGAACCAGCCAACCCAGTTTTCCAACAGAGGAAGCAGGGAGCGGCAGGATCACAGTAGTGCATCCCTCTAAGCATGTTTGATAGGTCTAGATGCCTACTGGTGGCCAGTGGGAACCAGAGTTTGGAGAATCTCCAATTGTCAGCAGTCTAGAATTTCATCAGTGAACAATGAGCCATTTAGATAACGCTGGTAAGAGCTGGCATGTCACATCTGACAGAGGACACATGGATTATAGCAAGATAAATTCCATGGGATAGGAAAGAAAAGCAACCTGCATTAGAGTAGCCACATGCCTGTAGCCACTGTCTAAGTACTCATCCTCCCCAAAGGAGGGGTGTGGGGCCAGCAGCAGAGCCACAGTGGGCCCGATCCCTGAGTGTTTACTTTGCACCATGGAAGGTCTTCACATGTCTCGTTTCATCTTCCCCACAACCCTAGTGCAGCTATGTGCACAGCTGTTACTTCTATTTCACAGATGAGGCTATGAGAGGTAAAGTAACAGTCCCACAAACAGCAGCAAATGGAGAAAATGAACACAATGCTGAGCCCCTGTGCTATGCGGCCTTAGGTGCATAAAATGGGTTGCCAAGTGAAGAGAATAATCTGTCTGGAAAATATTAGCACCATTCTGGGGTCACCTCAGTGCCAGGTCTTTCCTGAGCATACTCATTTTCTCAGGACTCCCTGAGCACATTTCCCTTCGCTCCTTGGGGAGTCTTTCTAAGCTGGATTCTTAGCTCAGCTCACAGGGTCGTGGTGGACGTTCATGGGATTCCAGAGCTGGGGCGGATGAATTGCCTTGGGGTCTGGCTGGCTGCCTCCCGAGGGCTGGACCTTGGCCCAGGCTTCCTCTCTTTTCTCTTCCTAGGAAGCTATACAGCACAACTCTTTCTTCGAGCCAGAAAGGAAACTGGAATATGGAAATGTTGATGAAGCATTTAAAGTGGTTGATCAAATTCTCGAAGGTAAAAAGATGGTGGGAGGGAAGCAACCCTGGAAGCCTCCTCAGCATGTCCAAGTCAACAGCCCTTGGCCTTCTGCCTTCTCTGAAATAGACGCCTCATTCACAAATGCGTTTCCCCCTCTCTCTGGTGGGGGTGAAGAAGCAGCGGAGAGGCAGCGTGGGCAACAAGACCTTGCCCTTGCCAGCCTACTGACCATTCGTCTCCTCTCCTGTTCTCAACCACCCTGCAGGAGGGTTTTATTATCCTAGTCTTACAGGTTGGGAAGCTGAGGCTCAGAGTGATGATGGAGTGTGACCAAGGTCACACAACAGCTACCAAGTGACAGAGTTGGTTGTTGAATTGATACCTTTTTAGGATTTCCAAATCCTATGACTTTTTCTCTTTCCTCCTTTTGGTCTCTGGGTCTGTCTCCCTCCCTGCTATTCCTTCTCTGCGTTCCTCTTCCCTTCTTTGCCTCCTCCATTCTCCTTCCCTCTTCTCTCAGATATCTTTCCTTTATGTATATAATTAAAACTAAATGTCCCTCTCAGAAAATACTTAATTATAATTTTCTAGTAAAATTTGATAACTTTTAACTTTGAACTAATTTTGAACTTACATGAAATTTGCAGAAACATTAAAGAAACTCCCAGTCATCCTTCATATTTCCCCATCTGATGGGGAAAAGCATAAGATTTTGCTTTGCCATTCTGTTTGTGTTGGAAGAGTGCATACATTTATATGTGTGCTTTGAGTGTGTGTGTGTGTGTTGGGGGTGAGAGAGATCCACATATTTTTTCTAAACTATTTAAGAGTTCAGTTGCAAAAATAATGTCTCTTTACTCCTAAAATAATCGGTGATTGTTTCTGAAGAACAAGGACATGATCCTACATAAACACAGTTATTAAAATCAGAACGTTTACAGCAACACAATACTATTACTTAATCTACAGATCTTATTTAAATGTTTCCAGTTGTCTCAATAATACACTTTATAGCCAAGGAAAAAAAATTGTCACAGGGCTTTAGTAAACCATGCTTTTTTTAACTACGCTCTGCTGCTGTCCATGCTGTGAAAACCGTCCTCAACGCCTGCCTCCCAAGGTCTCTGCTGGGTCTGCCACATCTCAGAGCAAAGACTGTTGGTATTGTCTCTCTTTAAGTGAATTTCTAGGATTGTGGTCCTTAGCGCCTATTAGAAATTCCTATCTCCTTACTTTCTCTCTCCAACCTTGATCCCAAGCTCAGGAAGAGTTGTAATACACAAATACCAGCCTGGGTACAGAGCCAGAGCTGGGTAGCATGGAATCACTCAGCTCAGATACTCGAATTCAAAACCCGCTGCGTCTCTTGGCTCCATAGGTGTGTTAAACCTGAAACTGCCGAGGGGCTGACTGAATCTCATGCCACCTGGAAGCTGTAGGAAAGACACCTTATTCTATTTTTCCTTGCATCTTATTTCATTATTTAATTCAATTGGGTGATCTTTTCAGTCTGTCTCTTAAAATTTTTAACTTTTTAACTTGTTGTTAACCCATACCCTGTTGATAAATATAAAAATGATACAGAAATCCTTAAAAGCTTTTAGTTTTCATCTTCTGGACTCAACTGGTTTGAGTCTATTTTTTTCTTTCAATTGTCATTTGGACTAAGAATTTTTGACTACTTATTTCAATGAAAGGTCACAGGAAGTAATACCCATAGCATTATCATAATGACACTTTATCTGCCCCTTTTAAGAAAACAGGTGTTGGCTCGGCACCTGTGGCTCAAGCGGCTAAGGCACCAGCCACATACACCTAAGGTGGCGGGTTCAAATCCAGCCCAGACCCGCCAAACAACAATGATGGCTGCAACCAAGAAATAGCTGGGCATTGTGGTGGGTATCTGTGGTCCCAGCTACTTGGGAGGCTGGGGCAGGAGACTCGCTTGAGCCCAGGAGTTGGAGGTTGCTATGAGCTGTGAAGCCACAGCACTCTACCCAGGGGGACAGCTTGAGGCTCTGTCTCAAAAAAAAAAAAAAAAACAACAAAACAGGTGTTTAAAGAAAAAAAATTGAAGATCAAATATGTGAAGCTTTACATCAAGTCTTAAATGTGTTCTCAGAGGGAATGATGTAGTTGTTGTTTTTTTACCCGCTGTGAAGATCTGTTTCAGCCCTACCTAATCCTGGTGTCATAGCAGGGCAGGGCGTTAAAGATCCCCATTTATAAATAAGCCAGCTGCGGCCAGAAAGGCTAAGTGAGTGACCAGAATCGCGTCTCAGTTTCCCAACTCCGAAATTGGTATTCTTTCCTCTACATTATCCTGCTTCTCATTTATCTCTTTGAAATTCTGTTAGCTGGGATGGGCTTTACCCTGCAGAGCACCGATGACAATCTCTTTAGTAGGATTTGTCAGATACCTCGGAAGCCCTGAAACTGAGATTATTTCACCCACAACCTGTCCCGTTGGGCATGGTACAGATAGACACTGTCATATCTTAGTAGCTTTGGGGCTTTCAGGGCCTCTTATTAAAATGTAAATATGCCTGAAGGAATCACTCCTAAACTCACAGTGGGATAGCATTTTATCTCAAGGATTAGTTGATCAAATTGGTTTCCAGCATAGAGAGTGAGAGCAACACTTGGGGTGAAGAGCGGCCACGGAGGGGGTGGAGGGGAGGCTGAAGGAGTGGGCAGTACAACATACAGGGCTCTGGACCTTTGTCCACTTTGCAGGTATAAATACAAACAACTCTAGTATTTTTTCAGCTCTGTGTACTTTAAATACAGTGAACACTTAACAGAATAAATTCCGATTGGATAGGCAGAATTGGTAATACAGAAGCCATGAATTTGAGCCTAGTGACAATAATGTGAATTTTCACATTTTGATAAAAGCTTAAATTGAAGTTAAGATCTGAGCTGTTGAAATTTAATGTGTGTGTATAGTTTATAAGTGACGCAGAGTTGGTTCGTTCTTCTGTGGTCTTTCTTTACTCAGATTTTGGATAAGAGAGAAAATCTAAACTCCATCCCAAATATTTCCTTGGAAATCTCCTTCAAACAATTTGCAAATCACTATTATTGGGTGTAGTTTTAAGTTATGAAAGTTCTGCCTTCCACCTAACACATTTGACAATAATCATATTCTGTTTGTTCCCTCTTCTTTCCATCCTACCCACCCCTGCCTTCCCGTGGGTTGCTTGAACATTTTCGGAATTTCATTTTGATTTATTGAGAGTGTTTTTTTGTGTATCTCCTAGAATAGATTTTTCTATTGGTGCTCAAGATGGCACATTATATATAATAACATTGTTAAAAAAAATCCCATCGGTATCAACATTTTATCAGTTCAAGTAAAGTCTAGAAACCTTACCTCCCTTTTTGTCCCTTCATTCTCCCTTATGTAGAACATCATTGATAATCGTCCTACATGGTTTTTTCTACATATATAAGAACCTCATGAAGCAATGTTGTAATTTTCCTTCAAACACAATTTAGAAAACTCAAAAGAAGGAAAGTCTTTACCTCTATTTTTATTCATTCTGTTGTTCTTCCTTATGTTTCAAGATTTCTTTTTTTTTTTTTCAATCATTTTCTGTTTCAATAACTTCCCTTAGCCATTATTTTAGAGTAGGTCTGTTGAAAACAAACTCTATTAGTTTTCCTTCATTTGCGAATGTCTTGATGTCTTTTTCGTTCTTGGAGGATATTTTCACTGGATGTAGAATTCTGAGTTGACAGGTCTTTTAGCACTAAAATATTTCCAACTGCTTTCTCTGGCCTCCATGTTCTCTGATGGAGCAGTCTGCTGCCCTGTGGATGAAGTCGTGTTTCTTTCTTGCTGCCTTCACAATAGTGTCCTTATCTTCTCTCAAGTTTGACTGTGATGTCTCTTGGCAGGTATTTCTTTGGATTTTTCCTATTGGATCACACAGCTTCTTGAATCTGTAGGTTCGTGGTTTTTGCCGAGTTTGGGGAACTTTATCCATTATTTTTTCAAATCCTTGACTTCCAATGACACAGATGTTAGATCTTTTATTATAGGCACACAGGTTCCTGAGGCTTTTCTCTCCAGTCTATTTTGTGTGTGTGTGGTGTTAATCTGGAGTAGAGTGGTTATTGTCTAAAAACGTTTTGTCTTCCTAGGCCTCTCCTTTTCCGGTCTTTTGGTTAGAGAGAGTAAATTTTTTTTTTTTTTTTTGCCTTTGCCTGTCAGTGTTTTTAGATTGCTGGCTTTTCCAGAACTAAGTCTGGGATCTGTGAGGCAAATGATGAAACAACAACAACAACAAAAAACCCTGAACTCACTGTGCATCTTCCCTTGGGTCCTGAAGTCTTTAGCTGGGCTGCCTTCTTCTCTTTCCCTTTCATAGTCTTCTTCTGCCTATTTTATGTATAATATTCAGGACAGTTAGCTGTATATAATGGGAAGAACAGGGAGAAGTACATCTACGTCATCTTGTCCTAGAATTGAAGTCTCCTTGGCATAGTATTTTGACTCTAGAAAATGGCACACATTTCCCCAGGGCTCTGTGGCCTAGCATATTGGCTACCACAACCAATTCCCCTACAGAACCCTACTTCAAGTCTACAATTATACTAAAAGCAAAACACTGCTGTTTGTTACCCTTCACTATGCCACATGCTGGCCCAGCAGAGGCATTCTCAGTGGAACTTCTGCCCAGTAAGACAACAGCTGAGGACACTACCTGTACTTTCAGGTTGCTTCCTCAACCTTCATGTATCTTCCTTTAACAGGTGAAATGCACGTGGGAGGTCAAGAACATTTTTATATGGAAACCCAAAGCATGCTTGCTGTTCCCAAAGGAGAGGACCGAGAAATGGATGTCTATGTGTCCACACAGTTTCCCAAATACATACAGGTAACATGAGGGCACTGTGGAGGAGACATAGCTAAATGGTTTCTGCCAGCAGAATTATATCAAGAGTTGGCCAGGCACAGTGGGTCATTCCTGTAATCCTCACACTCTAGGAAGCCACAACAGGAGGATCCCTTGAGCTCAGGAGTTCAAGACCAGCCTAAGCAACAATAAGACTCTATCTCTACATCAAGTAGAAAAATTGGCTGAGCATGGTGGTGTATGCCTGTAGCTACCTGGGAGGCTAAGGCAGGAGGATTGCTTGAGCCTAGTAGTTTGAGGTTTCAGTGATCTAAGATGATGCCACTGTACTCTAGCCTGGACAGCAGAGTGAGACTCTGTCTCCAGAAAACAAACAAACAAAAAAAGAGCAATTAGAGATAAAAATGTACTAATAGACATATTGATTTGGGTATTAATTCAAAGCTTTTAAAAGAGTATTATTAAAGTAGGGGCCTTTTGTTTGCATGACTCCCTATGTGATGTTGGACCCCTCCCTTAATCTCTTTCACATTCCCTGTCTATAAAAATTGGTTATTGAGACTAAGTGACCTCTAACATTTTGATGGGAGGAAAGAGTAAGATCTGCATCCATGGAAGACCAAGTGATCACCTTTAGCAGTAATCAAAATGGGAGGTGAAACGTGCTCTTTCTCTGGGGAGACAGTAGGATGCAGGAAGAGACCCAAGCTGGGAGAGATGTTGAAGCCCGTGAAATCTCACTGCCCTAGGAAACATGTCCCTAGTGTGAAAAAAGGATACTTTGGGTGTGGTTCATGGGGAAAATATAAAATCTAGTAGGTATTGAAGGATCCACTGGTAACAAAGAGATAATTAATAATAGTTTTGGCAACATCCTTCTAGCCAAATGTTACTGAGAGCAGTTGGGGATGCATGCCAAGGTTGAACATTGTCCCATTGTCCCATTATTTAGCATAACCATCCAGTTTCTTGTTGTTCAGGTCATAGGTGTGACAATGGTAGTCACAACTGTCAAATTAATCAGAATTGTTGTTACTCACAGGACATGGTTGCCTCAGCCTTGAAGCTCCCAGCCAACAAGGTCATGTGTCATGTGAGACGTATTGGGGGGGCATTTGGAGGGAAGATACTCAAAACTGGCATCATGGCAGCTGTCACCGCATTTGCTGCAAACAAGTACGTGGAAAAAACCTGCTAAATATGCTAAAAATAAAATGAAGTCACAATGAAGGTTCTTAATATCAGGATTAATGAGAAAGAGTCTGGGCCAAGATTATTTAAAATCACATGTAATATACAAACACAAATAAGCTGTCAGCTTATGACAACTTCCTTGCCTTATATTGTCAAGCTTTGTCCCATAAGAATCAAAATAAGAATCAATTACTTTAGATATGACTCCCTTCACTAAGAAGAAAGAAAAAAACATATAATAGAACCTCAACAAGTTGACTAAGCCAAGGGACTGGTCAACATGAGAAGGTAGTCAACATAGGGAACTAGGCCTACTGCATTGATACATACATGTGGTAGAGAAGTGATCAACTGTGGAGGCTCTACTGTATGTATAAAGGAATCAATTACTGAAAAGAATAAAATCCACAGAAAAAAATATTACCTGGTGGGCAGTGCCTGTGGCTCAAAGGAGTAGGGTGCTGGCCCCATATGCCAGAGGTGGCAGGTTCAAAACCCAGCTCCGGCCAAAAACTGCCAAAAAAAAAAAAAAAAAAAAAATATATATATATATATATATATATATATAAATAACCTGGAATACCTGGAAAGTAGAGAGAAATAGGTCCTGAATAGGCAGGGGTTATATGTCCTTAGCACCTGTTGGCCTGCTATATGTATATGTCTTTATTTAAATAGAGACTTTGCCTTTGTTATGCTTACATTAGTTTATATTACTATACTCTTTGGAGTATCTCGAAACATCATCATAGGAAGTGGTCTATGGAATAGGCACAACTAGAAGGCCTAATTTCTTTGCTGAGTAATAAAGTCAGTTCCGGCAGAAAGACCTTGATTCCAGATCTGTCCCATCAAGGAGCACCTCCATTTGTGTCAGTCTAAATGTGGCCTTGGGAATGTTTGCCAATAATAGAGGTTGTTATCACAGTGGGGACACCCCTAAAGCAATATCCTGGAGTCTCCAGGCTCCAGCAAATGCCAGGCATTCGGCCCTGATGCAAAGGGAGGGGAGGCCACTATGTGTGCCTGAGATCAGCAGGTGTGCAGAGTAGTTCCATGTTCTATGAGGCAGGTGGCACCACTCAGCTGCACTCAGGCTCCTACCAGGAGTTATATAAAGCTCAGATAACACCTACTTGGTAAAAGAGTTTACCTTTCTTGCTATGTTTCTATTTTAGACATGGTTGTGCAGTCCGCTGCATTCTGGAACGAGGAGAAGACATGTTAATAACTGGAGGCCGCCACCCTTACCTTGGAAAGTACAAAGTGAGCAGAAGATATGGGGGGAGCATTTGTGTTGTAGACACAGTGTTCCATCAGTGTAGATGGCCATGTTGGGTGCTCTCTAATGGGAAATAACTGTGAGCAAATTAACAAGTAATCTAACTTTCTACTCCTTGTGATGACTGTTCAATCGCTGGCTGATTCAATGAAGCTTTTCTGCTTTGCTCAAAGACGTCAGTTTAAGAAAAAATACTAGCTGGTATTGGTTGTTACAGAGTACATAATTGAAAAACATGAGTATACATGTCTATGGAAGTAGATCTGAGAACCGTAATTACTCCCACGTGGAAAGCAGGTAAAACAGAATAATTTCCCATAACCATAGTGTCAGGCAAAATTGCAATTATTTGCAAATGTGTTGTTAGTTTTTCAAAATGTCAAGGATATTTTTATAAAATTGGGTCCCAAAAATTTCTAGAAAAATTTTCATAGTAGAAAGTAACTATTGGGTCAGGCTCAGTGGCTCATGCCTATAACCCCTAGCACTCTGGGAGACCAAGATGGGTGGATTGCCTGAGCTCAGAAGGCTGAGACCAGCCTAAGCAAGAGCAAGACCCCATCTCTACTAAAAGTAAAAACAACTGGCTTATTTCCCCCCAAATAAGACACTGTCTTATATTTATTTTTTCTCAAGAGACACACTAGGGCTTATCTTCAGGGGATGTCTTATTTTTGTTAAGTATAATACAACAATCTACATTTATTCAAATACAGTTACGTCATCTTCTTCTGGAACCTGACAGGGTTTGTTTGTGGGGCTGGCGCTAGTGATGCATGAACTCCTTTCCCCTAGCCATTTGCACGTGCACAATAGGATGCCTGCAACTACAGTTACTACACATGCACCCACACAAGTGCAAATGGCTCAGAGAAAGGAGCTGTGGCAGATAAAAGGTATTCCAGTCTTCCTTACTACTCTGCGCTGAAATCTGCATGGTGTGCTGCATAGCCACGCCCATCACTAGGTCTAATTATCGGGGTAGGGCTTATATTTAACAAATGCATAGAAATCCTGCCAGGGCTTATTTTGGGGGTAGGTCTTATTTTCAGGGAAACATGGTAGTTGGGTATCTCAGCAAGTGCCTGTAGTCCCAGCTACTTGGGAGGCTGAGGCAGGAGAATCACTTGAACCCAAGAGTTTGAGGTTGCTGTGAGCTAGAAGATGAAGGTGTAGGGATAGGATGTGTGTTGTAGACACCATGTTCCATCATTGTGACACTCCACAGTGTTCCTTAGAGTGCCACAGCACTCTACCCAGGGAGACCAAGTGGGACTCCATTTCAAAAAAAAAAGAAAGTAGTTATTATTTTGCCTTATAAGAAATAACTTTACTTGTCACAGTAGGGTAACTGCTCTAAAAAAACAACTAAAAACTCTCAAGGACTTCAACCATTATTATGTCATTTCTTGTTCAAGTAATAGACCAGTGTAATCAATAAAAGGGAAAAGACTCTGCTCCACAGAATCATTCAGAAAATACTGTGTCTGTTTCAAATCACATTCACGCTAAGCTATGCTTTAGTTCAAAAAGATTTCTTAGGGTGAACTTTGTCCAGAGGGAGATCATTTTCTTTTTTTTGAAAAATAAGACTTGCATATATGAAGTCATTAAAAATGCTAAGAACATGACACTTGCAGGTTGAAGGGGAAGC